CTATAATGTCTCCGCAAGATGAACAGTGAATACGGACAAGTTTACTCTGTTTGTATACTGTAATTTTCTTGTTTTACTAAGTACAACCGGTTGCAGTCAAAACATAAACAAACAAAATGTAAACATAGCAGACGAAACTCTTACAGATTACAGCTTTCTCAGTAGGTATCACTATACTAAATCAAAGAATTATTCATAAAGACGATATCGAATTCGTCACTGAATTCCCATGTTTTTTTGGGACACCCTGTACCTTCTGTTTACCTGACATAAAGCTAATGTGAAAAATAAGGCATTTTATACATACAGAATACAGAATTCGTAACTTCAGAACAGATTGCACCGTCAAGCAGTTGCATATTATACTGATGAATTCTCTTTAAAAAAAAACAATAATTAAATGCAAAAACATTTAAAATTAATAAAACTCCCCCTAACAAAAAACATCGGTGATTACAAATCTCAAAATATTGTTGCAGGCATTACAAATTGTCGTCTTCATTATTGACTGTTTTAAATATTTTATTGCTTTTACATTTGACCTACGCATTCGCTAAACTCCACTTCTGACCTACGCCATGGATCCGCTATGCTGCACTTTCGACCCACTAGAACGTCTTAATTCCTTTAACCTTACCCTAAAATCATAGAAAATAAACCAGCTGTCTATACGTCTGATATAATTGCAGTATAGGTCGGAAAGTTAGTAGGCCAAAAGTTCAGTAGAGGGTACATTGCGCACAAGGAGTATTGAATAGAAGGGGGCGATAGGGTTTCAGTACACCTTGCTGTAACGTTTTTGGACTGCTGAAGAACTAGTTTTTGCGTAACAACAATAATAAAGTATGTAAACAATAACACAAATAATAAACAGACATCTAGGGGGAGGGGCAGGATAACCTTGAATTTGATTGAAAATGTCTCTGTAATAAACTCATGTTTGTTTACATTAGATCGGCTGCCTTTGTTATTGTTGTTACGCAAAAACTAGTTCTTCAGCAGTCCAAAAACGTCACAGCACAAAACAAGACTTCGACCACCTACATTTCAACAAGAGATTTCTATAAGGAAGATTTATTGTGTTTTATATGCTTAATAACTAAACAGCAAGTTCTTTCGTGAGGATTTAAAAAATCTATTTCTGAAAAAATATCGAATAAAGATTTTATTAATCTGTAAATTAACAAAAGATCTATAAATATATATATATACATATATAAGTATATATATGTATATATATATAAATCTAGCTGAGCTCATGAGCCCTTGAATAATATATGATGAGTGTTTTAAGTTTGTAGCAACCGAATAGTTGGATTTAGTTCTCCACACATTTACCATATTAGTTTAACTACAATCAGTAGAGTAGAGGGGGCTATTATTTAGCAACCCCCCCTTCCTGGGACCTCAATTTCTGTTATTACTTCTTAACTTGCGGTTCATTTCATTTATCAATGAGAATCGGTAATTGATATAAAAACGTATTCCTTTTTTCTTTTGTCACCTTAAACACAAATTAAACGATGTGACTCTTTTTTTGAAAACAAAAATCTTATTCAAATGTAATATTTTTACTATGTATTCTATTTTTCTGTGTTTCTATTCAATCCTAAAATTTCTAATTAAAAAAGAATGAACAAAATGTTTCAAACATAATTGTATTTAAACAAAAATAACAGTAAATACATGATATTTTTACATAATAAAGGGCGAACCATATTACTCTGGAATAGGAAAACAACATTTAAGCCATATTTTGTGTATTTGGTGCTGTTACAGTCGTTTTAATCTTTTCAAGGTACAAAACATGACAGTTTAAACATGACAGTTAATGAATGATTTAAAATTTTAACAAGTTGTTTGATACCAAAACTATACAGTAAAATTTATTTCAATGTAAAATATATTTGAGTAAAAGATTTTTTAAGCAAAATATCAAATACAGTATATGGAAAAAGACATTTAAAACTATTCACCAACTGTCATGTTTCGTGGAACAACCTGTATAATAGACAATTTGACACGTTTAAAGCTACAGGGAGCCATAAATGTAAGAAAACAGACTGAATTCCGTACAGTCGTCTCTGAAGTGTCATTCTTTGTGGGTTACCCTGAATATTTCTACAAAAATGTCCCCATCAGTCCAGATTTAGGATGTGTAACTTTGGAAACCGTTGACGTCATTATATGTAAACTTCAATAGAAACTGAAAACAATTTTTGTCGTCTTCAATTTTTTTTAATTGTGGAATTTTACAAATGACTTACTAATTTGCCCTTAATAATTTAAGAAATATTTCAGTTGCAAATAATGCGAAATACAAAATCCTTCGCGACATTTCTTGAACAAAGACGATATTAATTCAACAGTTTTCTGATTTTAAATTTAATTTTTGTTATGTAAGAAATATTTTCAGATTTCCCAGTATTTATAAATACCAGAGTATGCCATCCTTTAGACAATTAGGTTTTTTTGTTCTTCTCTACGGAATGGTTCATGCTCAGGTAGAAGTTCAGGTAGAGGTTCAGGTAGAAGTTCAGGTAAAAGTTCGGGTAGAAGTTTCAGTAGAAGTTACGGTAGAAGTTCATGTAGAAGGTCCTGTAGAAGTTAAAGTAGAAGTTCATGTTGAAGTTTAGGTAGAATTCCAGGTAGAATTTCAGCAAGAAGTGCCAGTAGAAATTCAGGTAGAAGTTCAGGTAGAAGTTGAAGTAGAAATTCAGGTAGAATTTCAGGTAGAATTTCAGGAAGAAGTACAAGTAGAAGTTCAGGTAGAAGTGCAGGTAGAAGTTCCAGTAAAAGTTCCAGTAGAAGTTCAGGTAGAAATTCAAGTAGAAGTCCATGTAGAAGTTTAGGTAGAAATTCAAGTAGAAGTTCATGTAGAAGTTCCAGTAGAAGTTCAGGTAGAAGTTCAAGAGAGCAGGAGAGAAAAAGTAGAATTTCTTAAACAAGGTTAGGGATCTTAACACAAATTATTCATTAATAATATTGTTAGGAAAACCCTGAGGAAGGATTTTATCTCGATGGATCTCCTAAACTGCCTCTAATACATGCAGATACCCTGGACAAGGATGGATCTCTTCCTCCTAAACTGCCTCCAGTGGATGCTACCCTGGATAAGAATGAATCTTTGCCTCTTAAAGTGCCTCTTCTGGGTTCATCTTATCCGGAGAAAGATCCAACTTTAGTTCCGAACATAAGTGTTAATCTAGAGAAATTATTCGGAAATCTTATAGAGTCTGCTACCGACTCATTGAAGGTAAGGTTTTTTTTTTTGACTGAATTTCCATCAACTTAAAACATTCATTTGTAGGAAAATCCTTCGTTTGGAAAGTTATTTAATTTAACATACGATAAAACTCTTGATGAAGAAAGGATAAAAAATAAAACTCTTGGCGAAGAAATGATGAGGAATAACACTTTTGATGAAGAAATTATGAAGAATAAAACTCTTGATGAAGAAACTATGAGAAATAAAACTCTTGATGAAGAAATGCTGAATAAAACTCTGAATGAAGAAAGGATGAAGAATAAAACTCTTGATGAAGAAAGGAACATGAATAAAACTCTTGATGAAGAAATTATGAGGAATAAAACTCTTGATGAAGAAATATGAAGAATAAAACTCTTGATGAAGAAAGGAAGATTAATAGAACTCTTGATGAAGAAAGAATGAAGAATAAAACTCTTGATGAGGAAAGGAAGATGAATAAAACTCTTGATGAAGAAAGAATGAAGAATAAAATTCTTGATGAAGAAAGGAAGATTAATAGAACTCTTGATGAAGAAAGAATGAAGAATAAAACTCTGGATGAGGAAAGGAAGATGAATAAAACTCTTGACGAAGAAAGAATGAAGAATAAAACTCTTGATGAAGAAATTATGAGGAATAAAACTCTTGATGAAGAAAGAATGAAGAATAAAACTCTTGATGAAGAAAGAATGAAGAATAAAACGCTTGATGAAGAAAGGAATATGAATAAAACTCTTGACGAAGAAAGAATGAAGAATAAAACTCTTGATGAAGAAATTATGAGGAATAAAACTCTTGATGAAGGAAGAATGAAGAATAAAACTCTTGATGAAGAAAGAATGAAGAATAAAACTCTTGATGAAGAAAGGAAGATGAATAAAACTCTTGATGAAGAAAGGATGAAGAATAAAACTCTTGATGAAGAAAGGAAGATTAATAAAACTCTTGATGAAGAAATTATGAGGAATAAAACTCTTGATGAAGAAAGAATGAAGAATAAAGCTCTTGATGAAGAAATTATGAGGAATAAAACTCTTGATGAAGAAAGAACGAAGAATAAAACTCTTGATGAAGAAAGGAAGATGAATAAAACTCTTGATGAAGAAAGAATGAAGAATAAAACTCTTGATGAAGAAAGAATGAAGAATAAAACTCTTGATGAAGAAATGATGAAGAGCAAAGATAAAGATATGAATAGCACCTCTGCTACAGGAAGAAACGTGAATCTACAAAGTATATTTGGTTCTCTGCTTAAATCTGCTTCAACAGCTTTAAAGGTAAAAATCTTAAATTTATTGCAGAAGGTTTCCAGGGCGATTTGCGCTGTCTTTCCAAAACTAGCTTTTTAAAGATTTTATTGTAACTTTATCCTGTTCTGTTCGGACATCGTGAAAACTAAACTGAGAAAATGTTGTGGATTTTTGTTGTTGGAATATTTATGATTTCTGATTTTCCTTGGCGTTATCTAAGGTTTTAAAAAAATGAATCGGTTTAGTGGATTTAAAGTGTATTGGGACCGACCAACAAATCATCAAACAGAAAAGCAAAAAAAAAAACTATTTACAGGGTGTCTCAAAAATACCTATTTACAGGGTGTCCCAAAAAGAACTTTGCATTAGGAGTATTGAGTTCTATGGGGAACAGTTTTCAAGCTGACATTAGAAAGCTCTATATTTCAGTTATTTCAAGGTGTGATATTTTCTTTCTTTCAAGACCTCATTCTTATTTTACAACCTGTACTTTTTTGAGTATTTGTCGAAAATTTCTCGTTTTCTTTTAAATTTCCGATTATTCAAATTTCATGTTTTCATTTTTTCAGAAAATATGAAAAAATTGACAGATTTTCGATTTTTTTAAAGACTTGTAAGCTGTCAGCCAAAATTAAAATAAAAACTTGATAAAAGCTTTTGATATCTGTATATTCCACATTTCCTTTTCTTAAAAATATTTGAACTAACCCATTTGGGCAAAAAATCTTAACATTTTTTATTTTCGACTAAAAGTCACCAGGAACTTAAGAAGTGATTGTGAAATAAAAAAACGTTTAGGGTTTAGGAAGAAAAATTACACTTTAAATTAACTGAAATATAGAGCTTCCAATGATTCCTTGATTGTAAAAATATAATGAAAATTGTTCCCTGCAAAGTTTTTTTTTTCAGACACTCTTCTGTAAAGAAATTAAAATCCGAATTGATTTGATCTGAGAAAAAAATGAAGATAAACGCTCGAATGAATAAAGCATATAATGTGATAATATAATTTAATTTAATTGTTCCTCTTGCTTGGAATTTGTATAAGCAATGCAAGTGTTCTATAAAAGCACGTTTTAAGTTCAGACTAATCTCAATAAATTTCTTTCGGAGAAAAATAATAACAAGATATTCAAGATCTACCCACAGGTTTCGTTTAAAGGGATTGTTTAGATATTTGAATAGGGTGTGACCTTTAACATATGTTTTACTAACTTGGGAATCCAGCTTTGTATGAAAACTAAACTTTTACTATGAGTCAATTCGCAGTTAAAAATTACAAAATATTTAGCGACATTTTATGACGAAAAGAAATAAAAAATTGTTTTCTCACTATCACTGTTTACTGTACAAAAATCTAAAAAACTTTTGGCTTTCGCTGTATTAATATTTGAAATCAGTTTTTTGGCGATCACTGTATTCGATTCGAGCCAGTACAACATGTACCGTATAAGAATTGATTTGTACTGTCCAGCTTGGACTAATCCAGACTAATCAGTGTAGATCTGTCACTCCAACATGCATTATGCAGCAAATGTAGCCTGGCAGGATTACAGTGGTATCTAAAAAGGTGTTTTATTGATTATGATTATAGAACAAGGCTTCAGATAGAACTTCAACCAGTCCTGACACTGATCAAACTACAGAAGAACCTAAAGGATGGCTGTTCCAGTCTGCTAAACAAATCTCACAAGGAATTCTTTAAAATCAAATTACTCATATCTAAATAATCATAGATTAATTGAAATAACAGAGAGGACACTTAATGTCGTCTTTTCAAGATTTTTGTGTGTTTCGTTCACAATAAACCTGAGGTAGAAGCCCAAAGTCGTTAAACATAGTCGGCGTAGAGCAGGCTCTCTCTCAGTCTTGTTCTACGCCGACTATTCGTAACTCCTTTGGGCTTCTGCCTCGGGGTTATTGTGAACGTAACACACAGAAATCTTGCAAAGACGACATCTAGTGTCCTATCTGTTATTTTAATTAATCTATGTAAATAATCTTTCAACTTTTCTTTATTAAATGACAATACTTTAGTAGTATAATCTGATATGGTTAAAATCAAATGAACTGAAAACTTATCTTTCACTTAAATTTTTGAATTCTCTGATCTCTACTACATGATTGGTTAAAAAATTCAAACATTAAATATTTGAATTAGAAAATTTGACCGTCGGAAAAAATCAATGAATTACGACATTAGGCTTAAATAATTATAAAATTAAAGTATGCAGAGAGTAATATCAGGTCATTTTTTTTAAATATTACCATTTTGGGTAAACTTTTAATTTTAAAGAAACAAACTCAGGAAAACCAGGTAATTCGTCTGCTGGACGAAACAAAAGTAACGCAATGGAAGAAGACATGACAAATGGAAATAAAAGGAGTAGATATAACATGACAATGGATGAAGAAGTGCATAACAAGACCCGTCAGAGAGGGAGTAGATACAACATAACACTGGATGAAGAAGAAGAAGTGCATAACAAGACCCGTCAGAAAGGGAGTAGATATAACATGACAATGGATGAAGAAGTGCATAACAAGACCCGTCAGAGAGGGAGTAGATACAACATAACACTGGATGAAGAAGAAGAAGTGCATAACAAGACCCGTCAGAAAGGGAGTAGATATAACATCACACTGGATGAAGAAGAAGTGCATAACAAGACCCGCCAGAAAGGGAGTAGATATAACATGACACTGGATGAAGAAGAAGTGCATAACAAGACCCGCCAAAGAGGGAGTAGATATAACATGACAATGGATGAAGACGAAGAAGTGCATAACAAGACCCGTCAGAAAGGGAGTAGATATAACATGACACTGGATGAAGACGAAGTTCATAACAAGACCCGTCAGAAAGTGAGTAGATATAACATAACAATTGAGGATGAAAAGATAAAAACTAAAGCAGTAAAGCAGGACGAACTAAAAGAAAAACTAACATCTCTGATAATAACACACACAGAGGAGAAGTTGTGGTTTGAAACTAAGAACACCTGTGATTCTCCTCCTTTGATTCAAACCAAACTCTCGGAGAAGGATCCGTCCTTACTCTGTCAGCAGCAAAACACTATAGAGGAACTATGCTTTTGTATTGGGGGACAAAAGTCTAAAAAATATAAAATGTTTTGCGGATTTTGTGAAGCAGCATTCATACCTAATTCAGCTAAAAAAACAACAGGCCCAGACATGAAAGCAGCAAACACGTCCACAATTTTGAAGAATATTATCAAAAAAGCAAAACAAAGAATTGAGAACCTAAACAAGGAATGGTCATTTCTAGATGCAAATGAAGGTATGCAAACAACTCATAATTCCCCGTTTAAAACTATTATTAGTATTGACTGTTGGAAAGCTGGAAGAAGAATGGAACATATACCTCGTCTAAAAGTCTAATCTTTCTAATTCATTATATTTATGAGCTTTGATAATTTGGAATACGTTTTACTGTCAAAGTTTAAAAAGTTTTCACGATCAGGTTGCAAGGAAAGGAATTTTAAAATAAGAGTTTCAGTGAGTAATAAATTCGCTTTTAAGGGAAAAAGTCGTGTTTCTGAAGCTTTGAATTTTTTTACGAAAATGTTTTCTTTTTTTTAGAGTGTTTGAAGCCAGTATCCAGACCCTCAAAGTTTTCTGAGAGGAGTCCTTCAATCGTCTGTAGTGCGGGGGTTGAAGACCCGTGTGTTTGTGTCAGAAATCCAGGAGAATCATACAAAAAAATCTGCGGAACCTGCTCAAACATTCTCCGATCTAAACCAGTGGAGGAGGAAGAGGAGAACAATGGAAACCCTGACTTGTCAACTTTTTAAAAAAAAATGACGAAAAAAAATTTGTGTAATATTTTCAGTAATTGATTACAATTTAGAAAAAACTTTAGCGATTGTATTCAAATAAAATAAACCATTTCAAGTTATCTTAATGAAGTATATCTTTATATAAAAAGTTGTAATCTCTGTTTGTCTGGGTTTCTGTCTGTTTGTTTCTCGGATCATAACACACTAACACAGGAACCCCTAGAACGATTTGCCTAAAATTTTGTATGGCCTTGAGATTCTAAGTTGAGTGGGCCGACTTTAAAAGCGAAAAGGGGATGGTGGAGATGTCATGTTTGAAGTAGTGGGGTGGGGGGCCTGCCGCCTTCATTTTTGGTTCAAATCTTCCAATTTTTTGGCTGCACGTCTAATTAGTGATCCAAATTCCTAAAATAAAATAAAATTTAATTTTAATTACCTCTAATGACCTCCAAAATAAAAATGTTTTAACTATCGCTTTTATGAAAAAAAAATTGAAAGCTAGTAGCCCAGGGAAAACATTAGCAGCAACAAATCCAGTTTTTTAACTTTGAATTTTGAGGTCATTTTAGGTCATTAGAGGTCGTTAGAGGTCATGAGAAGGTTAAACACTGGATTCGTTGCTGCTACTTTATTCCTGGGGTTCCTAGCCTTTAATTGATATGCATAAAGCCATAGCTAAAACTAATTTCATTTTTGGAGGTCATTTAGGTCATTAGAGATCGTTAGAGGTCGTTAGAGGTCATTAGAATTTCAAACACTGGATTTTTTGCTGCTACTGTATTCCCTGGGTTCCTAGCTTTCGTTTGATATGCATAAAGCCATAGTTGAAATATTTTCTATTTTTTAGGTCATTAGAGGTCATTAGAGGTCATCAAAATTCAATTGTATTTTATTTTAGGAATTTCGATCACTAATTAGGCGTTCAGCCAAAAAATTGGAAGATTTGAACCAAAAATGAAGGCAGCCCCCACCCCCCCACATCAAACATGACATCTCCACCATCCCTTTTAGTTTCCCAGTAAAATCGTTCAAGTGTGGGTAAACGACGGGAGTAAATTAGTAACCTGGGCAGCGCTGGGAGCCCAAGCCAGTATATGCCTAAAGAAACTAAACACTCACCACAAACTCGATCTAGATATCTAATTTTTCCAATCTGATGACGTAAACTTTAGAAATTTCAAACAAAGGCTATTTTTATTTGTATAGTTTGCAAATGTTTGAGTTTGTGTGGAAAGATCAGTCCCTTTAATCAGATTCAGATGTGGGTATAATTCATGTGGGTTTTTTGGTCTAAAATATTAACTTTTGGAATTCAAGCATAATATAGCAAAATTAGAGCAAATTGTTGATTATAATCTCATATATCTACTGAAGGTATGTTTTATCTTCAAAACAGTTTTATGTAACCAATTAGAAACACACAGAAACAACAGTAATTCAAAGTGTACAATGTACATGCTTTTATGCATAAATCTATCAGCAATTTGCCAAGTACTCACTTTTAGCTAAAAACATAAAATAATGAACATGGTAGAACTAATAAGAAAGACTCTAGGTAGGACGGATGTAAAGGTGGAATAATGAACATGGTAGAACTAATAAGAAAGACTCTAGGTAGGACGGATGTAAAGGTGGAATAATGAACATGGTAGAACTAATAAGAAAGACTCTAGGTAGGACGGATGTAAAGATGGGATAATAAAAATGGTAGAACTGATTAGAAACACTCCTGGAAGACGGATATAATGGTGGGCTAAAGAACTTCAGGTAGTATAGATCAAAACGAGATAATGCCTCAATCAATATTTAGGCATATTAATATGCCCCCATTAACTTGTTAACCCCCCTTAACTTTGACGTCTTTGGTCATAGAATCAAACCATCTCTTAGGTTTTCAGACACATTGAAAGATGGAAAGCTTTCTAGAAAGTACTAAAAAGGGCCTGTGTTGAGTAAATTTCAAAGACTTTCAATATAGAGTGAAGATGTCCAATTCACAACAGTACCCATGAAACCCTTATCTGTTCAATAATGTGGAAGATAGTGTCGTTCTTCTAGGTTTATAAAGTTTTCAATTCAAACATCACCGATATGTCTTTCTGTAGTACAGTAAAAATCAGAAAATAGTAGACTAGAAAGACGACATCAATGCAACACTGAAGTTCATTTCATGTAATTTAAACACCAATGAAATGAGTTTAAAAGTTGACTTCCTATTCTAGAGTATTCTGGTTATCACTGTAGAAATGCCCAAGTCACTTTTATGACCACAAACCACAATTTAAAATAATCAGTTTTTAAAATTATGAAAACTGATATTTAATTCATACTTGATCAGACATGTTAAGGGAACCATTATTCATTTCCATCTTTGCCATGAAGAGTCACTTGAAATTGTGCTACCAATATCTTTAATGTTAAAATTGTGCTACCAATCCCTTTAATGTTAAAATTGTTCTACCAATCCCTTTAATGTTAAAATTGTGCTACCAATCCCTTTAATGTTAAAATTGTGCTACCAATCCCTTTAATGTTAAAATTGTGCTACCAATATCTTTAATGTTAAAATTGTGCTACCAATCCCTTTAATGTTAAAATTGTGCTACCAATCCCTTTAATCTTAAAATTGTGCTACCAATCCCTTTAATGTTAAAAAACGGACCTATAAACGAGGCACACATTTCATTCTGAAATTGTTTAATTGGATTATATAAAACAGAAACATATTTGTCTATTTATTTATATAAAAAAACATTAAACTCTAAAACTAAAGGATTTAATTGATATATTAAAATGTGCAATATTTCCCAAGTATAATCCATATAATAGTTGTGCTTAGAATATCGTTAAAGAAAAGAAACGACTTTTAACAGCCGACCTATTTCATTATGGAACGTACAAACAAAAAGGATAATTCCACAAAGAACCAACAATATTTTTATCATTCAATTTGAGGAGGTCAACATTTTTGTAGGGTACATGACGAGGACGGTTTTCTCCTTACATAAAAAAAGTTGGTTCTGATTTGATTATGATTCAACTATCTCCAGAAAATAGAATTAAGAATAAAATTTCCTTTAAAAGTCGCATATGCCAATGGAAAATGAAATGTTCTTAAAATATGAGTTTTCCAATTTTTCAACAAATATGTCAATAGTTGAAGAATATTTTAGTTAAACATAACGTTACCAGAAATACAAAATACTCTTATTCATTTCTCGACAAAGGGTTACTAGAGATTTCTAAAGTACTTAAAAGCAGGGGAAATTTTTTTTTATGTTTATAGCGAATGGATATATATTTAATTACTAAATAAAGTATTGAATATTCTGGATCTCAGGAACATCTTTGAACGATACGATAAGTTTTTACAGTTGGGCGTCTTTAACGAGGAACGATCGTTCTTCCACGGGAACGAACATAATTACCAAGAACGATGCCAACGTTCCAAAAAATAACGAACGTTAAAAAAACGTTCTTAAAAATAATGAACTATTTACTAATTAAAGAACGTGGAACGAATGGAATTATGTTAAAAAAAACTCTAATTTTTAATTTTTAGCAACTCGATGTCGTTTGCCTTTAATATTTCAAACTAAGAATTCTATTTGATCAAAAACTCTTAAATATGAAATATCAAAGATTTACGCCATCAGGTTGCTAAGATGCAAGGATTAGAAAATTTGAGTTTGTGGCAAAAACTTAGTTCTTTAACTGCATATTGCCCCCTCCCATGCACTTCATTAGCCTCTCCCAATATCACTGACTTTTACTTTCGATCATGTCTGCAACTCGGAACGCTTGAGCACTCTGAACTATGAACAACATTCGGATTTTTCCAAATACGCCTTCTAAACTCTGGAGCTAAAAACAAGCGTGTTGTCTAAAGATCTTTATATCAATGTATTTAATTTCAAAAACGCAGAAACACTTGAAAGATGAGTCGGTTTTAAGTAAAGTTGTAAATAAAATAAGATTGCAGACTCTGGATGCGGTTCGTACAGGAAATGTCGTCTTTTAAGTATATAGAAAGATAAAATCTGGTAATGTTACATCGTTTATACGCAACATCCCCCCTACTGAATTTTGGACCTACTAACTTTCCGAACTACTGCAATATCGGACCTACGCCAGCTGTTTATTTTTGTATTATTTGAGGGTTAGACAATTTCTGGGCTGAGCGCTGCGGCTAGGACAGGCTAGGCGGCAGGGCGCTGCGGCCACAAGTCCATCTAGCAGCTTTAAAACAACTTGCTAGTAGGTCAGATGTGTAGTATAGCGGATTTGGCGTAGGTCGAAACATACATCATCATTATAATCTGCATGACGTCACTGATTAAAGTAGAGAGAGTGACGTCATATGCGGATTTTATCTATCTCTGCGACATTGCCCTTAAATTGGAGTGCATCGATCGAGTAAGCAACCTTATTATACAACCTTGAAATTTTATAAGAATTGATGCATATTTGAAATGGCTGTTTGGCGGATTGATAAGTTCAACACAAAACTATTTAGATAAATTCTGTTCAATCAAAAAGTCTAACTTTGATAATATAAAATGTCAATCTTCTGTTTAAATCAAAGCAATTTTTTATTAGTTAGATGCCAAAGAAAACATGAAAGCAAGATATTTCCAGATTAATAGAATCCATCTTGGTTCAAGTATTTTTTCTCTCTTGGGTTATTTTTGATTGAGAGTCGTTTTCTATATTATAGCTTGGATTAAAGTTAAAATACCTTCCCCCCTCTTGTCGTTTTCTATATTTTAACTTGGATTAAAGTTAAAATACCTCCCCCCTCTTTCTGATTTCCCAACCTTCTCTACCATCTAATCCTACATCATCCTTTACCCTCCAATCAATTCTATACCCCTTTATCTTACATTTCCCCCTTCCCTTCCCTTCCCTCTCACCTAATCTTCCGATCCTTTGCCCCTCCATCCACCCCCCCCCACACGACCGATCATTTCCCTCCCCAACCTTCCCGTCCCCTTCCACTCCCTGTATCCCTTCCCCTGTCCATTTTTCCTCCTCCTAAGGCCAGTCCACTCTCATTTTCCTTCTCCTCTCCCAACCTTTTCACGTTCTA